CCCTAACTACTTCCAATATCGTAGCACATTAGATTTAATTGATTGATTGAAACACCCACGAAGGATATAGTTTTCTAAAGGGTGGGGAGAAATTAATGTGTAGACTTTATTGCTCAAGCTCTTCCCTCTCTGTCCTAATACTTTACTCTTTAGTTTTAATCCAATGAGTAACACTCATGTCAAAGTCAAAAGGCTGAAAAAATATAAATGAAAATATTTTACTGAGGTGGCAATACTTCTACTTCAAGAACCTCCTACATTATACTCACACTCTTTACAGGGTGATAATGTACTACTAGTTCTATTTTCATAATAGCTACTACATCTTCAACGTCAAAGAGACTGGATATATATATATATATATATATATATATATATATATATATATATATATATATATATATATATATATAGAGAGAGAGAGAGAGAGAGAGAGAGAGAGAGAGATTTACCCTCATGGAGAGCATCATAAACTTCTTCTGTTGTCACATTTAAGGCTCTGAGAAGAATTGCTAGATTCTGTGATTTCTTAGCATCAATAATCTGAATATATTGTGGGGTTTGGTCAAAGGATGAGGAAGCTTTTCTTCGATCATCTTTTCCTTGGTCTACCGGTATATATCCGAATAAGGACTCCATCATCTCCTCATTAAACCTGTAATAAAATTCAGCAAGCAGAATTGTAAAGACTGAGACAGTTAAACTACTCTCGCAGGAACAAAGTGAATAGCAAGACCAGTGCAAAGCTTACTGGAATGAGCCGGCTTTTATTTCATGCCAAACCATAGAGTGATCAGGATTAGCAAGAACCTTGTCCCAGAAGAATGGCTTTAATTTTGCTTTCGGAGCATCAGATTCACCCAATGAGTCACTTTCCCCATCCCCAGAAGAACGTCCTCTCTGATGTGCTCCAAGAGGTAAAGGCTTCGCCATACCAGGTTTTGGTGGATTAGGAGGGCGAACAACTTTTGGAGGTGGAGGTGGTCTTGGAGCTGGTGGTTTAGGAGGAGGAGGTGGTGGTGGACTAGGTGGTGGAGGTGCAGATTTTCCTGGAGGAAGGGGTAATGATGCATGAGCATTTGCATTCATCTCAGGTTTTGACAGTTTCGACTCTGCTTCGAAAGAATTATGAGGATCAGCACTGGTTACAGCAGATGCACTCTTGACATTTAGAGAAGAACCTGACAACACAAATTATACAAATTACTGAAATGTAATGAAAAAGAGTGAGACAATGAGATAAACAGAAACCATCATGATAAGTAGCAGCAGATAAGACACCTGTCAGAGGAGGTTTTCCATCCCTTTGCCCATCGTTTGGAGTTATTTCTTTCTTTTTATTCTTAACACATAATATCAACAGAGCTAAAAGGGCAATTCCTGCAACAGAACATCCAGCCACCACAGCAATTAAATAATTTTGACTCTCCTGATTATTTCCAGGAGAATTTGGACCATTCTGTGGTTTATCTGGAGGTTGAACAGGCAAAGGTTTAGAAGAATTGGAGTGAATTTGAGGTTTTGGAGGCATTTCAGGAGGTTTTATAGCTGCAGAAGGAGGCTGCAAAATTGGAGGAGAGCTAGTGGGCACTTCAATAGAAGGAACTGGAGCATAAATTGGTGATACAGTTGCAGGGCCTGGAGACGGAGCGAGAGTTGGAGCTGTTGCAGGACCTGGAGACGGAGCAAGGGTTGGAACTGCTGCAGGACCTGGAGACGGAGCGAGAGTTGGAACTGGAGCATGATTTTTTGGCATGAATGGATACTTTCTTCCTCTGAGGTACCTCCTGGGAACACTGGACCATTGCGAGAAAAGCTCTTGGTACTTGCTAAACCAAGTACTGGATGCATCCTCACTATTAGAAACATGGACCTGAACATTTTTCCTTCTTAAGCACTGCAACAGAATCTGCTTCTCTTCGGGAGGCAAATCTTTAATAGCCTTCCGTAAGGTTCTTTTTTTCAAGAGAGCTATATCCTGTTTTAAGTAACTATAACTTCCTGTTGCTGCCTGTTGAATATAATATTCCAGAAATTTTGCAGCTTCTGTGCTCTCTTCCAACTCTTCCCTGCAGTGGATCCATACTTGCTCAGCCTGCATACAGACGATTTCATCAAGTTATAGTATCAAGGTAAGAATTAAGTTAGAGATATGAACTCTAAAGACTTAACATAACATTGTATTTTGTCTCACTATTATGCAACAAATGCTTCTCCATCTTGCATCTTTTGAAAACTTAGATCTGATGCCATTATATCCACAATGAATCAAAACAAACATCCAACAACTAAGATGAAACTTAGCCTATATAATTGACTGTCCAAATCAAGATACAGAGCACTGGCCTACAAAAGTGTGTTGAGTTATTTATTTCTTATCATTAATGGAAAAAGATTAAAGCAAGAAATTTCCACTGGATAAAAAGCAACAGCTTGGAAACACAGATGTACATGCTATGCCGGTTAGGGAAACAGAAAGCTAAACTCGAAATACATCTTTTGAACCTTGTAACAGCTTTCTTGCACAATGATCTTCAAAATGCTCATGTGAGAAATAACCTTTTGATATGACATAAATAAGATTAAAAGAATTAATTCAAAAGGTTACTGATCTCCTTAAACTAAGAAAAGCACCAGTATTTAAGTTCAGAGGTGGAAGCATAGAGATTCATCCTCGTTGTCTTTTGTTATTAATTTACAGATCCAATTCTTGTTTCCTATGAACCTCCACATCTCAGCCATTTTAACAATTAAAATACTTATTCTCTGAGTTTTTGGAAATGCAAAACTTTAGAAATTTTGGCATAGACACCTACCCATAATTATTGGTTGTGGAGAAGACCAAGGTAAATTGGTTAAATCCATCTCTTAATTAAAAACATAAATTCACTTAGATAATCCAAAATTTATTCTTATGAAAGTAATGCTACTTCAATTTCACCGAAATTACGAATACTCATCAGAATATAGTAGTACTTAGGTATCAGCAGATAAAAGCATAGGCAACATGCCTATAACAATCACAATAAGAACCATATCGTTGACATATACGTTAAGCAACTCACATCTAAAATAGTAAGTAATGCACACATTTTATGCATGCACATTGCATTAAAAAAAGGGCATCTCTCGCTATGCGCGGTCCGGGGAAGGACCGGACCACAAGGGTCTATTATACGCAGCCTTACATTTCTGCAAGAGTCTATTACCCTACATTTCTGGAAGAGGTTGTTTCTGCATCTATGCACATTGCATAAGTGCAAACATTAAATCTCCAGATGAATATGAGAGAAATGAAATCCATACCGTATCTTCGTCTATCACAGGATCATGCCAAAGACCTGCAATGTCTAAATTGTTTCCCAGAAACTTCCTATTCCCTTCTGAATTTCTTGCTGCCCAAACACAAATCAAAGCAACAAAACCAAATGCATAGGCAACCCTTCCCATTATAATATTGCTCATCCCATATTTTGGCCTTCTTTTAATTGTATTTGGCATGTATTCAGTTACTTTCAGGTATACCAAGAAACACCCGAAAAACCTTGGCCTTGTTGCTGGCTTTATTTCCAACCAGTTCAAAGAATTCCAAATACTTCACAGCTAAAAGGGAGAAATAAAATTACATACAAATGTATAGACAATATACATATATTAAATATATATGTTTCCAAGCTATGCAACAAGAAACCAGATGGATTGTGCCCCTATTTTGCATCCAACATTAAAACCTCCCAATAAAACAATGTCAAGATTCAATTTTTACACCTTCAATACATATGTATGCACATAAAAATTATATATTTAGCCTTCAAAATACAATGCAGAAGCAGAACCCACCACCCATTGGTTCCTTTGCGGACAAATACAAGAAAAACAGATAATTTAGCAAAGGTTTCAAGAAGGAGATGAATTCTATATATGATCAAGAATTCTATTGTAAAGGGTTTCCCTTGATTTTTTTAGAAAAAGCTCTCAGATTTTCAGACTTTTTTGAGTCAGATTCTGTGTTGGGATTTTTGTTTGTTGGAATATTTCATTTTTTTTCGGAGGCTAGAGAGTTGTGCGTGCGGAGATAATTTATATTTATAGGAAACGTGCAGAGAACAAAGTTAAGATGTGAGAGAGAGGGAGTTTAATTTTGGACCTTTTTTTCTCCTGAGCTATAAAGAAAAAAATTGTTCTCATAAAGATATTAATTGCAAAGAACAAATTAAGATGAGAAAGAGAAAATCTATTCTCTTAATTGTTTCAAAATACTTTATTAATATCTTAGTGTGGATTGTGGAGATTATATATACTTAATTAATAAAAATATAAATTTAAGTTGCATACACTAAGCCGGTGACAAATATTATTTGTATAGTTCACATTTGGTCTAAGGTTATTTATTTTACTTTTTTTTTCTTTCGAAAGAGAAATAAAGCAACAAAAAGAATTAGCTAGCAACCAAACCAGGGAAATGCTAGTAGCCACAAGCGCATGCCATTCAAAATAAGACTCCATATTAAACGCTTAATTGGCTAAACAATTAGCTATTGTATTAGCCTCCATGTAGATATGGGCGATAAAGACGAACGAATTTAATGACAAAATTATGGGGCACGTGAACCCATGGTCTCACCGCAAAATTAAATATTCTATGTGCATATTTTCTAAAATAGGTATAATCACCCATGCTCCAAGAAGGTTGAATAGCGCACTTGATCGAAGGTTAACTTATTTACTAAGAGGAATAGAGACCAATGCTCAATTGATACATTTTCTCCTCATTTTTTTTTAGTAGTTCACCCATGTGCTAGAAATCCTAAATACATTTTTTAGTTAAAATTATTTTAAAACGTTTGAAGAACCGTAACATAAAACGTTTGATCTCAAATAATTATTGTGCCATTCTTTGTTTGTTTGGGAAAAATAGTGGAATACTACTAGGAAAAACAATCTGAACCGAAATTATTTTGCAACAAACAAAGGAATCCATATCCAACTGGACAACCCAGTAATCCAAAATACCAAGAGTTATTAAGACATGAAAGTAAAAAAAGTGAAGGGAAGCAACATAAGAAATAAATATATGAGCAAAGAAACAAAAAATAGAGCTGTAATGTCATACAAGAACTCTAAAAGTTGCACTAACAGACATACGCAACATTATTCAGACTTTTGCTTGCCCCATTGGTGCAAGTTATTTACTACTAAGTTCTTAAAATAACAAATAATACAACTCCTGCTGCATAAGTTTGACACCAGGAACAGCTAACAACTTTCATCCCTTACTGAATTCCTACAGACAGAGAACAAAGATTTAGGAAATTCTTCTGTGTAATCTAATTCAGCAGAGTAACATGCAAGTGATTGAAAATAAAAATAGTGGTTCATTAATCATAATATGAAGGCATAAGATATAAGGGGTAACAACATGGCCAAGATAAGATAGGCGCCGGTTTATCTTCTACCCAGAGCATCAAAGTAATACTACTACATATTCATCAGGGGTAAGTAAATCTGTTGCTGCGATGAGTCTCGGGACGATAAAAACAGTACGTTGAAATCTCTAGAAGGGCCATTTCATACTAAATATTCCCCTAGAATCCCCTTTGTCTCGAGAGGCGGATCCAGAATTTTGATTCTGTAGGTTCAGCTTTTACGGTTCTTCGTATTGAACCTATTATATTTTTAAAGTTATGGATTCAGACCCACTATATGTTGCAATTTTAGTGAATTTTTACACTAAATTTATGTTCCGTGTCGAAAGTACTGGGTTCAGATGAACCTCATACTATAACACTACATACGCCTATGTTTGTCTCCCCTCAAGCTCACGTTATTTGCATAACCTGCCCTTTTTATGTTTTTTCTTTGATCAGTCGTAACCTGCCCCCTCTTTATGAGGCCAAAGTGTGCACCTACTGGATAACCTGCCACCAAAATTGGTTAACTTCGGCATTGGTAGAACTAATGCTGGAGCGACTTAAGCACTTAGGCATTATCGCTAACTGTATCAGATTGGATCACCGCCAATCAGGTGGTCAAACGACTTCCTGTGCCTCTTCAACAATTTTTGGGTGCGAGAGGCAAATATTCTTTTTCAAACATTTCATGTTTGCAATCTGAAAATAGTACCCTTTTCTACTTATCAGAGGTAGACAACTTGAGGAAATAGAAGCACAAAACACTCAAAAAAAATATGTACACGGAAGTTAGGTACCAATTAGGATTTGAAGATGAAGATCCATTAGCTGCAGCAGCTGTATCATCTGTGGTGACCGAAGCCATCTGGAAATTATAATGCTTCCAGTTATTTTCCATACAGAATTAGGGTGAAAGCATTCTTCCAGACACGATATAAGAAGAAATGGCAATTTAGTTCAGCTTAAAATTATTTTACCTCGACATTTTCATTTCTCTGGAGAACTTCACCACCCAAGAGTTTTGCCTGGTAAGAAGAATAGAAAACATGATCATGCTGGTCTACCTCCTAAATTAACCAGATGGTACATTTTTCTTGGGGTTGGTGGGGCCGCTTGATTTGTGGGGGGGGGGGGGGGGTAGGACAAGTTATGAATCGAGCTTAATTTTACTTCAGAGTCTCTGCCCCTAAAAATGTGCAGTAGAAGTAAAAATTTACATCGGGCTTGAGATATGCTCACTTTTACTTGTTGTATCCGTCCCATAGCACCCATAAGGAACTGCTGGCATGCAACAGCTTCGTGGACCGAGTTGATATACTCCACTTGCGGTTCATAATACCTGCCCAGTGCAAGGGAAAATATCACTATTCCTTACAGAAGAAGGAAATTTTTTCTCCAAAAGATTACAAGAGCTACATTCAGACAATAAAATTATCCCACCATTCCTAATAGAACATCCTAATAAAGATGCAGGAGAGAATAAGAAAAGACAGGAAGGAAAGAGAAAGTGAGGAACTCCTCTACCTTATATTCTCTCGTGCTTCACTTAGTCTTTGATTGAGCTTATTAAGCTTCTCCTCATGAGCCTAATATGGAAAGACATAAAAAATATATCGCATTATGAGCTTGCAGTAATAGCAAATATAAGTTTCTAACTATTGGCTGAAGGTGACCTCCTTTCTAAATATTAGCCTATTTGTAGTGACATATCCTTGGATTTAAACTATACAGAATCAACCAAAGCTCGGAGATCTTTGGTTCCTAGGTCTCGGGAAAGCTAAATCCTTATACCTGTTAAAAATAACAATTCCCAAAAATGATGTAAAACTTCTATTACCCTCACTTCCTTTTTTCCTGCAGGTTTTAGCTAAGTTAAATTCTTGTTTTTGCTGACTTTTCTGTAATGCGTAGTTAGTGGTTGGGATAACTGGTTCACCGCCAGACTGTCAGATAGAAACAAAAAGAACAATAATGTGAAGCATCACATCTTACCTCGGCGCTACAGCAAGTTGACCAATCATCAGCATGGGAAAATACCGAGCAAAAAGATAAAAACGATTAAAAGTAATGTAGAAAAATAAAAAGAAAAAAAGGAAAAAGAAAAAAAAAGAAGAGAGAAGTCATGTATCCACTCTCATGAACTAATAAATCTAATACATAAGGAAAACACCACCCTGGGGAATAAATGGAGTGCAAAAGGAGAATGACATACATAGCTATCTTTTCCACCATTTCTGATTCATATTTAAGCTGTGTGAGCCTCTGCGAAAAGTGCTGCAATGAATAAGGCATATTAAGGTCAGACAAAACTCCAAAGACTCGGCAGCAGAGGCTGGCGATCAGTATCAAATGTGTAAAACGTCGTACCTGTTCATTTGGAATGGGTCTTCAACAATCATGTGTATTGGGATAAGAACCAAAGGATAGTCAGTTATAAGGAATTGGCAAAGTCTAATTGATGGATTTAATATATGATATAAACGTACCGCCTGTGCAGTTCGCCAGGCCGGTTCACAACACGGAGCATGATATCCTCAACACTATACAACCAAAGAAAATCATTACATGATGTGTTTCAAAAAAATAGCTGAATATTGAAACAAAAAAGATCATTCTAGAAGTTTCATTCATAAGATTTTCTTATGAGGATATTCACCTTCCTCTGCTAGAATAGCTGGTCAATTGACCTGTTGGAGAAAACATTAAAAGAGCAACATCTGTGTCACATAAAACAGCCAACTCATTTGCCTTCTTAACAATGCTATCTTTGCGCTTTGAATAGGTTTGTTGGCGGGATGTCGAATTCTCAATTTTCTTCATCACAAGCTTATTGCGACCCATGAAAGGATGCAAACTAGAACTGGAAGTTAGATGAGTCGTTGTTCTTCGGCGAACTGAGAAATATATAGAACAACAGAAGAAGAAAAGGAAAAAAGTCAAAGCATTTATTGTGTTGACTTGCTAGTCAAATATGGTTATTGTAAGATGTGTTTCCAGATTTCATTAGCTACATTTAATAGAGAATCTAATATCGAATCACCAACAGCAAGATTTTGTGAAGAAAACATGTTTCAGTGGTAATCCTGTTCTTTATTGCCAAATCCCGAGTCAACACTGAAATTTCTGGTGCAGCTACATACAAAGCTAACAAACTGCAACCTTACAATTAATGAACAGAATTCTGTGGGCTGTAACCTGCCGAGTGGAAATTAGGGACTTTATTTTGTTCTTTTTCTCTATATAATGTTTTCTTCTTCTTTTTAGAAAAATGAATGAAATTAATAAAAATAATTTGTCTTCCCTGTTCTCAGTACTTATTTACTATCACTTAATTTCCCCACCTTATAAATCTGGAGAACGAATACTTACTCTGAAAAGAATTTATTTGCAGTCCTGCTAGCTTCTTAAATTATTAAACCCAGCATCTACGCAACTTAAGAAACCAACAGTTAGTACCATTCATCCGGCTGCATGCTAGACAACTATTCATTAGAACAGATATGACTGTATACTACGTTTGTGAACACTATAGTTCTTCAGTTGATCACCAGAATCCTAAAACGAAGCTTCCTTCTTTATTCTCCTTGCACTCCCCTATAGCCATGGACGTGATGCACGCGTGGTTTATACAATAGGAGACATGGACAATTAAAAGCCTACTTCTTGGAAACTCTCGAGCTTATTCTTGCAGGTAGTGATATTAGGCGAGTCCTATTTATTAGCATTCCTAGCATTTCAAAGGCCATATGATATAAGTTCAACATATAGGAGAATTTATATTTTGATATCTCAAGAGAAGTAACGGTGTATGTAAAGATACAATTAACTAGACAAAACTAAAATAATACATTGTTGAAACAAATTATCAAATCTCACTATAGAGTAAGCCTAATTCTTTTTAGCAGGCCTATAGCCTTGCACCATAAGAGAAACTAAGATTTACAATTAATGATGAAACACGACATGGTTAGAAGAAAAAATAAGTCATATCACTTGGCTGATTGACTTCCTTTCCTCTCGTCTATCAGCTTTACCCTTGACCTAACTATAAAATTTATGTTCACAGCTTCCGGGAAAAAAATCTGATATCCATATAATCGGTCCTTCATATTCCTATTCAAATTTGTAATGACCTCGCTAAGAACCAGAGAAATTAAACAACTAAAATAAGAAATTAAAGGAGAATTTGGGACAATTTTCTGTTTTATATATAAATGAAAAGAAGAAGTTGAACTACAATAGCCAAAATGAAATAACTATCTACTATAGTTGAACTCCATAGCTGGATGAGATCTGCAGAAGAAGGAAGGAGAAGAAGTCAGAGAGAGAAGAGAAGAGTAGAGGCAGAGATCGAGTGAGGAAAAGAGAAAGAGAGATGAATGACTTGGGAATCGTTGCCTTCCAATTTCTGTTGAGGGTAGTTATAACAACCTCAGCTGACGTGGCAAAATCCTAGCCCTTGTAGCTCATTTATTCGAAACTAATCCTAACCGTTAATTTGAAATTCTGTTTTTCCTCTTCTCTGATTCTGTTACTGCTTAGCCTAAGCTTCCTCTCATCGAACCCCGGTGGCAATACTAATCTTGTGATTAATATTGGATCATTACATACCCCACCTCTTCAAAGGATCCTTGTCCTCAAGGATTAGAGTCAAAGTCTGTAAATTTAGCTTTGAGGAACTGGTAATCCTCCCATGTGGCATCTTCTGGAGGTAGATTTGACCATTATACTATCACTCTAACCACAGCAGCATTGTTCCTCTTGATCCATTGCCTTTGCAGAATAGCAACTGGCTTTACCAAGAATTGACCATCCTCACCAGTGATAGGCAAAGTTGTCTGCACTACAACTCTATCACCTACCTTTTTCTTGAGAAGAGAAACATGAAACACAGGGTGGACCTTAGATTCAGGAGGTAGATCCAATTTGTAAGCCACATTACCAATTCTGGCCAGAACTTTATAGGGTCCATAATATTTAGAACTCAGCTTTAAGTTTCTTCTCAATGCAAGGGAAGTCTGCCTATAAGGTTGCAGTTTTAAATAGACCACATCCCCACTTGGAATTCTCTATCAGATCTTCTCTTATCAGCATAGTATTTCATTCTCTCCTGAGCCTTAGTGAGGTTGTCCTTCAACAGCTGTTGCATCTGCTGTCTTCTTGTTAGAATAGTCATGTAAATAGGAGTAAATAAATAACCCTAATCCAATATATATTAGGAGTAGGACATGTTATGTGTGTATATATATAGGGCTCATTGTAACATATGTTAATACATCAATAATATAATTTCTCCTGTGCTTTCTCACATGGTATCAGAGCTATCGTGAGATATCTATCGCTGTGCATAAATTCCAGCGACTCCGGGAAGAAAAAAAAAAAAAAAAACCTTTTTTTCCGGCAAAACAGCACTGTCCGCAAGAAAAAATCAATATCCGTCGGTGTTGTGCAAAAACCAACACCACCACGAGATAGATCAGCTTCCGGCGACCAAACCACAAAAATTTCTCCGGCAGAACCTCTCCCACGCGCCCTCACGCGCCGCCGGAAAATATTTTCCGGCGAGTCTCCGTCGTCACGCGCCGGCGCGTGAGGCCTCTTCCGGCCATTTTTTGGCCGAGCTTCTTCAGGACAGCCTGGTCGCACAGCAATTCCGACCCTACCCATCTTGTTTTCGTTTGATTCCGACCACTTTGAGTTTTTCCGGCGACTACACTGATTTTTCCGGCAGCTACAGTACTTTTCCGGCAAACACAGTGTTTTCTTCATCTGTTTCAGAGAATTTTCAGTTGATTCTTTTTGTTATTTGGTGATAATCCAACCATGTCTTTGGGAGTCGATGCTTTCGGGTCTAGAAACCCGGGTTCTGGCAGTTCCGGTGTTATGATTACCTCAGAACCTTTAATGGGAGGTTCAAACTACTTAGATTGGGCTTCATCTGTTGAGTTGTGGTGTAAAGGTCAAGGAGTTCAAGATCATTTAACAAAAAAGGCTAGCGAAGGTGATGAAAAGGCCAAAACACAGTGGGAGAAGGTCGATGCTCAGTTATGTAGTATCCTGTGGCGATCTATTGATTCCAAGTTGATGCCCTTGTTCCGTCCATTCCAGACATGTTATTTAGTTTGGGAAAAGGCTCGTAGTCTATACACTAATGACATATCTCGTTTCTATGATGTAATATCGCGAATGACAAGCTTGAAGAAACAGGAATTAGATATGTCTACTTACTTGGGACAAGTTCAGGCAGTCATGGAAGAATTTGAGACGTTGATGCCAGTTTCTGCCAGTATTGAAAAACAACAAGAGCAACGAAAGAAGATGTTTCTAGTTCTTACACTCAGCCGCTTCTGATCATATCTCTGGTAATAAATCACTTTTGTCAAATATTGCGTATTTACAGTCTCTTCCCACTGTTACTTTAGCCAATGGGTCTCAAACCAAAGCAAAAGGAGTTGGACAAGCGAATCCCCTACCCTCTGTCACTCTAGATTCCGTTCTCTATGTCCCTGGCTGTCCTTTTAATCTTGCATCTGTTAGTCGTTTGACTCGTGCCCTCCATTGTGGTATATATTTTATTGATGATTCTTTTATTATGCAGGACCGCAGTACAGGGCAGAT